AGCGCTGTAGATACTAATTGCCTTTGCAAATCGAGCAGCGCTAAATTTAATCAGGCCACAAATTTTAGTGCTTTTTGCTCCCTTAACAGCCAGCGTGTAATGGACTTGCTAATGCAATGAAATGCTTATCTTGACCTACTAAGGCCTCTGTGCATGGAGTGTAATGACTTGAAGGCACTCTCAAACTTACAGGCTACCCTAATGGCCTCTGATGTGGCCTCTGTTGGACCGTTAATAAGCTGCTGCCATTTGCAGAACCAGAAATAAAGCAGCCTTATTTAACTAAGAATAACTTGTTGTTCTGAACTATGAACTTATTTAAGCCTGTAAAAGACCAAATGACACATGAACACCAATGAAAGTTTAAGGGTTCCACATTGTGAAAAGCATAAATCATTATATCTATCTATCTATCTATCTATATATACTATATATATCTATATATATATATATATATATACAAACTTAATACATATTTCTTTTCATCTATCTATTGCTGCAAGTGATCCATAGAGAGAATGATAAAGAAGAGATGCTCCTTGCAAGAACACAAGAAGGCTCTGTGGTATCAAATAGCAGCCACTGTACACAGGCTTTGGCCACAGGTGCAAAATCAATAGAGAATTGAACCAGAGAATCAGCTCTAGAGGAAATGGAAGAGAAAGAAGCAGCTGGAACAGACCCTGTACTGACCCTGGTCATCAAACCCATGAGAACAAAAGCCCTCAGCGCAGACTGATGGGAAATCACCATCGATGAGACATAAAGGTCATACAGTGGAGTTCTGTTTCCGTAGTAACCAAGGACGGCTGGTGCAGTGTTACAGGACAAAATATGCTCTGTTTTTATTATTATTACTAATTTTTTGTTGGCATTAAATTAGTATGAATTTCTTCTGTCCCAGGGATTTTAAATACAACAGAACAGAGTTACAGAGCTGAAAATGCAGCATTATGGGGATGAAGATGAAGCATTACAGGGTTAAAAATTTGCATAGTGTTACAGGACTAAAATTGCAGTGTTACAGGGGCTAAAGATGCAGCATTATAAGGGTAAAAATGCAGCATTACAGGGCTGAAAATGTAGCGTTACGGGGCTGAAAATGCAGTGTTATGGGCGCTGAAGATGTAGAGTTACGGACTGAAGATGCAGCGTTACAAGGCTGAAGATGTAGCTTTATGGGGCAGAAATTACAGCGTTACAGGGATGAAGATGCAGCTTTATGGGGCAGAAATTACAGCGTTACAGGGATGAAGATGCATCTTTATGGGGCAGAAATTACAGCATTACAGGGCTGAAGATGCAGCTTAGATGGATTAGGTGCAGAGAAGATACAGCATTACAGGGATGAAGATGCAGCTTTATGGGGCAGAAATTACAGCGTTACAGGGATGAAGATGCATCTTTATGGGGCAGAAATTACAGCGTTACAGGGATGAGGATGCAGCGTTACAGGGATGAAGATTCAGTGTTGCAGAGTTGAAGATGCAGTGTTATGGAAAAATGACTACACTGTCAAAAAAATGTTTAACTTTAAAAAAAGGCTACGAGTAACCCAGATACCATAAAATCTTACAGAACAATAACTTTCACCTACTTACAATCTGTTAATATCTGATGTTCAATGAACTTAAAGCTTTAAGGCAGACCTCCTACTTATTTTGTGAAGTTACATCACCCATTTTTAATTTTTACAGTAACCACTCTCCTCTCTTAATTTGTCCTGTTTTGGAGATTTTAAATGCAATTAAAAGTGACATGAATTGTAAATGATAATAAGATTGCAAAAAAATTCATGATCCTTTGTAATATTCATTACAGAAGCACTTATACGCTATTTGTTAGCTGTAACAGGACTCTTAATATGAGCAAACTCTGGGTAAAAGTCCATCTGCTCTGAGTATCTGTGAATGCACAAGATACTTACTTAATGCTCTTCAATATTTCATTAAGATCTACTCCCTCCATTCCAGCTTCTGTGCATTATTTAAACCCTGAAAACTCAACAGAGAGATTTGTGCCATCTGTACCACTAGGGGGCAGCACATACAAGCTTTTCACCATCATCTCATCCTCCAGTGTTCATTAAACTATCCCAGCAGCATAAAATTGATGGTCTATAATGAATTTATAGTTCAGTGATTGGCAACCGCTTAATCCATCCCCCACCCCCATTAACAGGGGGCTGTATATAATATAAAGACAACTTCACTTACATCACAGGGAAGGATGTAGCCTAATATGCTTGAATTATAGCAGGTAGACCCACGTTTGATTATGGCAAGTAGACAAACATGTTGAACACGATTTTAACATTCTTAGTCTCCACAGTGTAATGAATCTTTCATTACTGGCTCTTTCCCCAATCCCTCGGTTCTGCACGTGTTTCTATTTTTGAAAGCTGGATTCCCTGGAGTCGGGAAGTGTGGCATAATCTGCTGCTGGAGCTCCAGACTTTGGCCCATATTTCCTGCTGTAGGCCTGTTGCTGAATTCTTTCAAAGAAGGTGTGATTTTTCAGAGAGGTCCCATTTACCCAGCTACCATACCAAGCAAAACTGACATGATGGGCGATAATATGACTCAAAATCAATTCCTTCTTACCCCAAATGTAAATAGCCTTGACACGCTTAGTGTGTGAAGTTTGCTTTTTTACTGTTGCACTGGAGCTACGAGGCTAATGTAGCTTGCCATCAAAATTCAGGCCTCAGGACTGCGGCTGCTACTATTTTAAGCTTTTCTCCATGTTAATAGATAATAGTATGTTGAACAGTGTTGGAAACTACATCAGCAGGTCCATTTTAAAATAACAACTGGGCTACAATCTATAAGTCTGTCTGGAAAATACAAGGTAGATGTTTCTAATAAAGTGGCCAGTTAGTAGAAGTACAAGGTCGGTGATGCTAATGAAGTGGCCAGCGAGTGGAAGTACAAGATATGTGCACTAGGGCTACGAGGCTAATGTAGCTAGCTGTAAAAATGGCCAAAATACAGACAAACTGTACTACTGTTTTTAGCTTTAGTCCATTTTGAAATAACTCAACACGGTTTGAGGCAAGTATTTGATGATTTAGGTCAAAACTGGCAGCTATTAGCGTCCATTACTTGTTAGCTACGTTAGCCTTGTAGCTTCAGTACAAAGCCAAAGAAGCAAACTTCACACACCAAATATATCTTAGCTGACTAGCTCAGCTGCTTTTGGGGTGATAGGAAAATAAAGCTATTGTTTCCTCAGGAATCTCCAAAATTCCACAATTTTGCACTGCGCCAGCAAAACTGCACTAGGTATTCACTGTACAGTGCATTCATGGAATCTTCATGCTAGGTTCAGGTGTGATCAGAGATAGGACAGAGCAAAAATACACTCCCATTCCCTGAGACTCAGGGAGTGCAGGGCATGCAGGACTGGACTGCATAATCGAGAACCACTGACCTAAACTTTCAAGATTAGAAGCACAACTAGTTGTGTATCGCCTATTACAGTGGCACTGAACTTCACAACACCAGCACCATGTCCTTAATGTGTGTAAGTCTCTTTTCATTAATTAAGAATACAGAACATGTACGCTGGCCCCTTTATCGTAGCTCGGGGGTGTCCAATCTTATCTGCAAAGAGTCGGCATGACTGCAGCTTTTCATTCCAAACAAGTTGGAGCACACCTGATTCTACCCATGTAATCAGTTGGTCACAGTCTTCAAACAACTGATCAGGTGTGCTCCAGTTTTATTGGAATGAAAACCTGCAGCGACCGGCCCTTTGTGTGTAAGACTGGACACCCCTGCTGTAGCCCCTTTGTGTTAGTCATACTCTGCTTCATCAGTGGCTCTGTTCCACTCTCAACCTGGCAAAGACGTGCAAGACGTGCAAAAGCCCCAGCAAAAAGAGATCTCCTTAATATCGCTGTACTTCCTCTTAGACAGCAATGAGATCAAATGGAAAGCAAGGAGACTTGTGCTTTTGCTCAACCATTTATCATTTCTCAAAACTGTCCTCTCAGTTCAGAAGTATATTATGTCTCATTTTGTCTCATTTTATATTAGGAGAATTGTCTTAATTCTGAGTCATCAAAAAGCAACATTTGAGCAATAAAATCTCCCTCTGGGATGACAACAGATGGGCTCCAATCTGTAATTGTGCATATATAGTGTGGAACTATAAGGCAATCTGGAAGTACAAGGTAGGTGTTTCTAATAAAGTGGCCAGTGAATGGAATAACAATGTTTCTAATAAAGTGGCCAGCGAATGTAATAACAGTGTTTCTAATAAAGTGGCCAGTGAGTGGAAGTACAAGGTAGAGGTTTCTAATAAAGTGGCCAGTGAGTGGATGTACAAGATAGGTGTTTCTAATAAAGCGGCCATTGAATGGAATAACAATGTTTCTAATAAAGTGGCCAGTGAGTGGAAGTACAAGGTAGGTGTTTCTAATAAAGTGGCCAGTGAGAGGAAGCGCTCAGCCATTTTCCTATTGGTCGGGCTTAAGTTACCTGGCTAAACTGAGAAATCCTGGGGGGTATTTCACAAAGCAGGATTTCTCAGTTTAGCCAGATAACTTAAGTCTGATCAATAGGAAAAAAGCTGAGGGACATTCTACTTGGACAGTCCTCATCCCTGGGCTTAAGAGCTTTATGAAATGTCCCTCAGGGCAGGGGGTCCTCCAGGACCAGCACTGGGAACCACTGGTCAAACACATAAATGAGGCTCACTTTCATGAACGTAATTGAACATAAGAACCACTTGGAAATGTTTATCTCTACACGTTAATCTCTCTGTGATGAAACTCAGAGTAGAGAAAATTCAGAGGATATTTTGTTGAGAAGCAACAACAAACAGCGAGACCACCAGACTGAAAGAGCGTCCGGTGGGCGGAGCTACCAGCGCTCCGACGGAGCCATGGAAACGCTGGAACGATTGCCTAGGAACCAATAACGTAAAGCGGGCTGGAGAGTCGTAAATTCAAATGGTGCGGTGTGGGAGAGGAGAGTCGCGGAGTGAAGAAGAGCGGCGGAGCGCCGAGACGAGGCCACACACAGACCCGCTTACCCGCCACACGGCGCATCCAGGCGGCATGAGAGCGGCCACACCGGCGCACAGGGCTGCCCTGCACCTCTCTGCCAGCTCGGACTAGCAGGAGCGGGAGGAGTTAAAGGGCTGCGTCCCCCGTGTTTGTCGTGTTTATCGCCCAGGCTAGGCGGCTAGCTCCCTCCTTCAGTCCGCCAGACCGGGCTGCTCGCTCTCTCTCTCTCTCTCTCTCTCTCTCTCTCTCTCTCTCTCTTCATGATGGAGAGAGAGACGAGTCGAGTTTACAGGCTGGAGGAGATGTGAGCTCCGTAAAGCCAGATAAATCCCCTCTCCTCTTCTTTTTACCTCCATTTGTGTCCGTAAGATACAAAGCAGCGGTTCTTTTTGCTGCTTGTTTCGAGTCTTTCAGCTCAGAAGCACAAAAAAATGACACCAGGAGAAACATTACTCGAAGACTGAGTGGAGAAAGAAGTCTCTCAGGTTGGTAACCAGTCCGTCTTCTTCGTTTTTCTTTCCATTTTCTTTCCATTTTCCCTTTTTTTTGTTCACTTGTGCTATCTTTCCCCCCTTTTCTGTCCATCTTCTCGTCTGTCTACATGCCATGTTCACGTTGCTTTCCGGAGTTGTGAGTTTACCAGCGCTAGTTTGGCTGTGTTAGTCTTGCTCTTGTCCTCCGTGGTTTAAATGCTTTAACCGTGCTGTTTTAAAGCACTTAGGACAAAATTTAGCTCTCATGCTTATCTTTTCCTCTCCAGCATGTGTAATACAGTGTAACTAAAGGAGGTTTATCTTATCCGCTCCTAAATGCAGAGAAAGCACCTTTATTTAAGTCACTGTGATCCAGACTTGAGGACTAGAGGCTTCTTCTCAGGTCCTTTCTGAAGTGCAGGAGTTGCTGAAGTCTAATTTCTTGGCTCAGTTCTGACAGACGGAGCAAACAGGACTCCTTGACTGCGAAATGTAACACTTACATGCTGCCCTTGTCTTTTTTTTTCATTCGAATATGTGTAATAATGTTATTAGGTCTGAATATAAGTGCTGAAGGAGCTTCCTTGGTTGGTTCACTGTGATCCAGACTAGTGGACTAGAGGCTTGCGTGCTGTTCTTCTCCTTTTCTACATAACTAAAGAAGGTTTGTGTAATTTGTCCCAAGGCTTTGTCTCTGGTCCTTTTCTAAGGTGTAGGACTTTCTCATTCCTTGGCTCAGTCCTGGCAGACGTAACAATGTAACTGGAGTCCAGGATGTCCTGGATGTCAGAATGTAGTGCGTATCTTTTTTCTTTTGAATATGTGTAACAATGTGATTTAAAGGAGTTTTATTTGGTCTGATCATAAGTGTAGAAGTAGCTTCTTTGGTTAAGTCACAGTAAACCTGACTTATGGACTAGAGGCTTTGTCTCTGGTCCTTTTCCAAAGTGCAGGAGTTTCTCATTCCTTGGCTCAGTCCTGACAGATGGAACGACGTGACTGGAGTCCAGGATGGCAGAATGCAGTGCCTTCCATGCCGTCCTTATCTTTTTTCATTTGAATATGCGCAATAACGTGATTAAAGGAGTTTTGTTTGGTTTTGTTTGATCATGAATGCAGAAGCTTCCTTAGTTGGTTCACAGTGATCCAGACTTGTGTGCTAGATGCTTCGCCTCAGATCTTTCCGAAGTGCAGGAGTTGCTGAAGTCTCTTGTTTCTTTGCTCTGACTTAATTATTAATTTCAGACGGAACAACAGAATAGGACTCCCGGTCTTCAAATGTAGTGCTTATATTCTATGCTTGTCTTTTTTCTTTTTGAGTATTTTTAAAATAATAAAATAAAATAATAATGTAATTATTTCGTCTGTTAGTAAGTGTTGAAGAAGCTTCCTTGGTTGGTTCACTGTGATCCAGACTGGTGGACTAGAGGCTTGTGTGCTGTTCTTGTCCTTTTCTACATAACTAACAGACCTTTAGGTCATTTTTCCTAAGCACAGAAGTAGCGTCCTTGGTTAAGCCACAGTAATCATGACCTATGGAGTAGAGGCTTTGTCTCTGGTCCTTTTCTAAAGTGCAGGGGTTTCTCATTTCTTGGCTCAGTCTTAAAATACGTAACAATGTAACTGGAGTCCGTGATGGCAGACTGTAGTGCTTCTATGCTATCCCTACCCTTTTCTTTTGAATATGTGCAATAATGTGATTAAAGGAGTTTTATTTGGTCTGATCATAAATGCAGAAGAAGCTTCCTTAGTTTGTTAAAGTGGAGGAGTTGCTGAAGACTCTTGTTTCTTGGCTCTGTCCAGATGGAACTGCATAATAGGACTCCACGACTGCAAAATGTAGTGCTTCTTGTCTTTTTCTTTTTTGAGTGTTTCTAAAATAAATAAAACAGGTTTATTTCTTCTGTTCATAAGTGCAGAAGAAGCTCCCTTGGTTAAGTCACTGTGATTGAGACTGGTGGACTGGAGGCTTACATGCTGTGCTTCTCCTTTTCTTTTGAGTATGTGTAATATAACTAAGAGAGGTTTATGTTGTTTGTTCATAAGTGCAGAAGAAGCTCTTTTGGTTAAGTCCCCGTAATCCAGACTTGTGGACTAGAGGCTTTGTCTCAGGTCCTTTCTAAAGTACAGGAGCGGCTGAAGTCTCTCATTTCTTGGCTCAGTCCTGACAGACGGAGCAACATAACAGAACTCAAGGTTGCAAATTGTAGCACTTGCATGCTAATATCTGTCTTTTTTTGCCAAAATTGTGTAATATCATGTAACTAAAGAAGGTTTATTTTATCCGTTCATGAGAGCAGAAGTAGCTACTTTGGTTAAGTTACTGTGATCCAGACTTGTGGACTAGACGCTTCGTCTCGGGTCCTTTCTAAAGTGCAAGAGTCTCTCATTTCTTGGCTCAGTCCTGACGGAGACGGAGCGACGTAACAGGACTCTGCTGCGTAAATTATCTCTGTATCAGCACCGTGTGCGCGTAGAGGAAGAGGACCGAGGTAAAGTATCCTGTCTGGGCCTTCATGTGTCTCCACACAGGTCAGAAAGACTCTGCGAAAGGGACAGTAAGTGGACGTAGGAATCCTGACCCGCTCAAATTCTGCACCAAACCACAGTTGTCATGCTTTTCTAACCCTAATGTTCTGCATCTGACATGCAGAAGACAAAGTCCCGTATTGTGCTGTCTCCCTGAAACAGATGGCTTTATCTCTACAACAGCATGCAAAGCAAGAATGGGGAACGAAACCTATTAATAACCTCACTAATGAAGGCACGTTTTCATCCATGTGGTTAGCAAGTATTCAGCGTACTTTCGCCATCAACTGTAAACTTCGCCGTCCACCGTATCGGCTTGCAGAGACTGGCTGGGGTGTCTTCTAGCGAACTTGTTCCGAACACAAGGCAAACATTGTGTCTGGTTTGTCTGAAGCCATTGTTCGGCCTGGCTCGCACAATGCGCCCTTTTTGCCAGAAGCACTTGGTCACTTCTGGCTGTATTTGCACATTAACTCTATAATAGAGCAAAAGCCAAGATGTTGTAATAATAGCTGCTGGTAAGAAAACCACACAGAAAACCCATAGAAAGACTATCATTAGAGCAGATGATAAAATAAACAAGCAGAAAAAAGAAAAGTGAGACTGTCACTCCAGGATCAGGACGAGAATACTGATGACGTCTTTGTTTGAATCCCGAAGTGACTAATAAGGGTCTAAACGACTCGCTTCTCCTTTTTCTGTGTGCGCGAAAGTCCGAGAGCGAGAGCAAAAGAGAAAGAGGGATTTGTTTCCGTCTCTCATTGTGCGCATGGTTGCTGGACTGAGGTGGCTCGGCTCTGGATGACTGTTTTTGTGATTACACATTATTGACTCCCTCAGTCGATAACCTTGGCAACTGCAGTCCCAGCCTCGTACAACTCTAAGGTGAAGCCGGAGTGAAGGGGCCATTGTGAGGGCCTCGGTATTATAGCAATAATGAATTCCCCTTCGATCCGTTTTAGAGCACTTCTTAAGAGCTAGACTTGAAAATATTTCTAAAGTTATGAAACGGCTCTCAGACACTCATGACTCTGTTATATATATTATATAAACTTTTGTATGTGTACATGTAGTTAATGTTTAACGAAACTTTATCTTGAGAATAATAACATGAGAAGGAAAACACTTTCTTTATATCTCAGTTAGCGCAATGAGGTTTTATTCCAAAGGATTGTTTTGGGTTTTTGTGTAGTTAATCATAGATCTCTTTTGCTCAAATTTGACCCTAAAATAGATTTTTTTTTTAAATTCATTTGGTTATACCTATATGAGTGGACAAATGAGCCTATACAGAATGTGCTTACTACTTTAAACAATTCAGTAACGTTATTGTCATGATGGAAAAATGCAGGGTTCATATGAACCTGAACATGAAAATCTTGAGATTTCCACGTAGTGAATGCACAGTGGCTGCATGTCCCAATTAATCAGTGGACCCCAATGATTGTTCCAACCAATGAGTGGAACCCCAGTTATTGTAGCCTCTCACTCTTGTTCATACAGCTTGTGGATTCTTGTTACAGTTGAGGTTCTTGAGTGGAACTGGAGCTTTTTACACTTTGCTTTTGTTAGTTTGCTACTCGTTGAATTTTCTGTAGGTCTCCCACAAGCACTGTCCAGTGCAGTCTGCTGAAGGTGTTGCTTTAAAAGCCATGTCAAAGGCGTATTTAAAAGAGAGGGCTGTGAACGCAGATTTTGTCATAGCATCGTAACAGTATGCTGCAGCTGGAATTGAGCCTGGACTACTAAGGATGGGTTGAAGGCTGAAATTAGGACAGTATATTAACTGCATGTGTTAAAAGAAAATGAGTGGCCTCTACTACTTTATCGAGTTCATTGAGTAACATTTACTACAGTACTGTACAAAAAGGTAGAGACCACTCTTGATTTATTTAATTTCTACTTAAGATGGCCATCAAATACAAGTTATTAACATTTTTGAGACATGTCGTATATATGTGTGTATATAATGTGTGTATAAAACAAGATAATAAGGGAAAAAATAAGAGTTACAAAAAAACCTACAGAGAAAATGGGCCTCCTAACAACCATGCAAGACCTGGTAGACCACCGAACTGTCCCCACCAGATAAACAGCACTTAAACCTTTCATCTTTGAGAGAGAGGAGAAAATCAAGCTGCTTCAGATCTGAAAACATCCACAGGTGTTTCTGTCCATCCTTCCACTGTGAGAAGACGACTCAGCGCTATGGGTCTGAAAGGATGTGTAGCTGTTCAAGAAGAACCTCACTGAGAAAAGGAGACGGACACATCAAACAAAGAAGCTGAACGATGGACTGACCACCCCAGAGTCCAGACCTCAACACCACTGAATGTGTTTGATTACTTCAGAAAACGATCATCCAGCTTCTAAGACTGAACTTTGGAAGTGTGGAAAAATATCCCTGCAGATTCCTTTGAGAAACTGAAAGTGAGTCTCCTGAAAAGAATGGAAGCTGTAATAAAGGCCAAGAGTGGACACCA